TGCTTGGTGTGCCTTTGCTTTGAGCTGGCTCATTAATAAATCATTGACTGTGCTTTAATTTTTTCAAGATGATGTAATGCAGACTACTTACTGTGAAATTGACTTGGACAAAGGAAGAAGAGATGCGTTTGTGTATGCTATCAAGAATCACTATTGGTACCAGATGTATATTGATGACTTGCCGATATGGGGTGAGTGATACTATGCATGAACAATTTGATTACAACTACAGGAGGCCTTGTACTAGTGGGTTTCATGAAGTAATTTAATGACTAAGCTTCATTACAAGAATCTCACAAGTATGTAGAACTTATGTAACCAAATAATACAAATAAATTGAAGGATTATTGCATTGAAAGAACAGTTGGATGGCTTGTACTAGTGAACTACAAAAAAATGAAAAACTCTTGTTTCTCAAGCACTGATATAATAATACCAAGTTCTAGGATTAAATTCTTTTAAATGTTCAAGTGGTAATTAGATAGGTCAGCTATAAGGTCCATGTTAATGTGTTCATGAATAACATTTTTTTTAAAACTCAATGTTTTAGCTTTGTTTTGCTAGTTCTCATTTTTATTAATAACACAACAGTTATTTGATTTACTTTTATGATAATTTAGTGACTTTTAAACAACTTTGCATGTGCAGACTGTGGTTATATGAAGTAATTTTGTTTTATTTGTTCTTAAAAAGTTCTTGAAGTTGCTCTTGCTGAGTGTTGTTAATTTGGGCTTAGATGTACTTGTGTCTTGAATCAAAATTTATGTGTCCTTATTGCCATTGTCTCCTAAGCTCTCTGTTTTTTTGTCACTCTCTTGTAACCTGCGGTCACGTACCTAGAAAAGCGTGGTCTGCAGATTGCATTTTATACTGATAGCAGTCAGCCAAACTCCCCAAGCCCTAATCTCCTTATTGTAGGTGTAAACTGAAGGGAAAGGAAAAGCACTACAAAATACTTTAAGGTAAGGTCTTTGTTGCCTGTGTTCTGACAAAGAAGTTAAAAAGAAAAACTAAAATAAACAAAACCCCACAACATGTACAGAAATTAAGTTCAAGCCACATGACAGAAGTTCTTTGATAGATAGTATGCTGAATAATATTACCCATTGTTTATTCATTCTGACAAAGGCTGATTTTTTATAATATAAATATAATCTTTCTTAATAAATATAATATATAATAATAAATATAATCTTTCTTATAATTTTAATTGGTTTTAGAAAATAGTTAGCTATTGAAACATGAGCCCCAGCTAGAAATGCTAGTGGTTTTTTTATTTATTATTTATCTGTTATTCAGAAAGACTCTTGCCTTTTTTAATGTATCTGTTTTTAAGAGATAACATTATAATGCCTGACAGGAGAAGTACTCATATATTGTATTTGTTCTTTTCAGCTGATCTGCTTAGTGTGTGTAACAGGTCTGTGGCAGGGCTTGGAGTAGACCCTAATTAATCTGTGTGGCCTTTACTGTACTTCTTGGGCAATTGGTGGTAGGCTTTTTAAAAGCATCCATGAGCAACACTTGTTGCTACAATATTTTTTTTATGCTTTTGGACTTTCAGCAAAAGATCAATAAATGATTCTCCTAGACTAGTGGCAGGTGTGTAGGCTTTAGGCTGCCCAAGGATGGTGGATACTAAGTGGATTTCTTTAGAATCCTGTGTGGCTAGCGAGTCTTGGAGACTTCCTTTTTTAGGACTGATTTTTCTGATCTTATTTGGAAACGTTTTTTCTCACCTCAAATACTGAAGAACAAATACACTTAGTAAGTCTTCTACACACTGACTAAATTTCCTCAACTTGTGTAGGCTTTAGGCTGCCCAAGGATGGTGGATACTAAGTGGATTTCTTTAGAATCCTGTGTGGCTAGCGAGTCTTGGAGACTTCCTTTTTTAGGACTGATTTTTCTGATCTTATTTGGAAACGTTTTTTCTCACCTCAAATACTGAAGAACAAATACACTTAGTAAGTCTTCTACACACTGACTAAATTTCCTCAACTGAAAAATATGTTTTAATGTGATTCCAGTGTTTTTTAGTGTACTTCAGTTATATGCTTTGTATGCACAAGAAGTCATTCCTAGTGCTACAGCTAACAAACATGCAGAATCTAGATGTCATCTTCATATGACATTAAGACGCTGTTTTTGATAGTTGTTTGGAACCAGGACCTCAAGCTGTGATACTTAATAGATGACTGCAGCACTGCAAGTACTGGTAATATTATGCAAGGATATAATCCGACATCAGGTAAGAAGGCAAGCGGTGCTGAAAATTTTGGTCTGTGTCTCCTGAGGGCTAGGTAAAACTAGCAGGATTGCACATTAGTCAGTTGATGTGAGCCTGGCTTTTATTCCAGAAAATTAATCAGGTCTTGATGGGGGACTGAGAAAGGAGTGGATGCACCTGAACTGATCGGAATTGTTTGCCTGCAAGTCTGAAGAAGTCCTTCTGATCTTTGTGTTCCAAGTACAGTTTAGAAAACTGTGAATATAGCTTTTCTGCATTAATTCTGGTTTTGCTGGGTCTCTGTTTCAACAATAGGAATATTTCAGGCTTTGAATGCTGCCTAGAACTTTAAGCTCTGAAGCTTCCTGCTTACTGAACAGTTTTTATTATAAATAATTTCTGTTACGAGTATGGCATGAGTAATATACACATGGCTTCTCCAGCTTGTTGGTGTCTTCGACTGTGTTGTATAGACTTGCCTAGTATCCCATAATGTGGTGGTAGAGATACTAAGGAAAACTGTCTTTTGCTTGATCAAGTGTCATCACATAGCTGTTAGTTTCAGGAACTGTAATGAAAAACATTAAGACTGCTTAAAATACACGGGAGTAAGAACTTTAGTAATGATGATTGCACCTGTGAAATAATCTCAATACTGATAAGTGTTTTTTTTATTTTATTAAGATAGTGTCCAGAACTGGTTACCCTCAGCTTGCATGAAAAATACCTTGTGCCAAAATGGCTTTTTTGTAACTGTGTGTAAGCTATCATGTTGATCCGCTTCATTTGGATTATTTTCCTAAGAACCCTACTAGCCAGCATGTATTATTTGTACTGTATCACCCAATTCTCTATTTATTGTTTATTTGTGTCTTGTAGCCAGACTAAACCAAACTTTTGTTCTTGAAACGCAAATGGCTAGAGTCATTTTTTTTGTGGTACCAAAAGAAAGTAAGTATTCTCTGAAGAGTTTAAAAGAAAAGGATTCAGAGGGTGTTAACGTCTGCTGAGAATTCTAGGCAACCTCTATTTATTTCTATTCTTAAAGCAGACCACTCACTTCTCTGGGCTCATCCAGATAGATTTGCAACATGCCTTCTGTCTCCTGGCAAACTTCAGTTGAGTTAATGTTTCGTGTTCTTCATGGTTTTCCACCTTGGTAAGGCTTACTGGTGTCAATGTCATATGCACAGCCATTAATATTTGCAGTTCTCCTTATGAAGTCCTCAAAATATCCAGTAAGGAGTACTCTTTTTTTGGTGAAGACTAGGCATGAAATAACTTTTCTTAACTGCTGATAGCTAAAGGTAATGGCTTCAGACTGCTGTTGAGGACTTTGGAAGGTTTACACTTTATTTTCTGACCTTAAAAAGGCAACCAGATCTTTTTAAGTGCATTCAAATAAAGTTATTCCATCTTCTTAGCTCAACATGAGCTGGCAATGTGCACTGGCAGCCCAGAAAGCCAACCGTATCCTGGGCTGCATCAAAAGGAGCGTGGCCAGCAGGTTGAGGGAGGTGATTCTGCCCCTCTACTCTGCTCTCGTGAGACCCCACCTGGAATCCCCAGCTTGGCTCTGGAATCCCCAGCACAAGAAGGACATGGAGCTGCTGGAGTGGGTCCAGAGGAGGGCCACAAAGATGATCCGAGGGCTGGAACCCCTCTCCTTTGAAGACAGGCTGAGAGAGTTGGGGCTGTTCAGCCTGGAGAAGAGAAGGCTCCGGGGGGATCTTTTAGCAGCCTTCCAGTACTTAAAGGGGGCCTACAGGAAAGCTGGAGGGGGACTTTTTACAAGGGCGTGTAGTGATAAGACAAGGGGCAATGGATTTAAACTGAAAGATTAGATATAAGGAAGAAATTTTTCACTCTGAGGGTGGTGAGGCAGTGGAACAGGTTGCCCAGAGAAGTTGTGGCTGCCCCATCCCTGGAAGTGTTCAAGGCCAGGTTGGATGAGGCTTTGGGCAACCTGGTGTAGTGGAGGGTTTTCCTGCCTATGGCAGGGGGGTTGGAACTAGATGATCTTTAAGGTCCCTTCCAACTCTAACCATTCTGTGATTCTACTTTTCCTGAATTGCTCTCCCACAGTGGAGTGGCTAGGCTTAACTTTAACTGTCTTTGATTCAGGACATCTCTCTAAGTATATGGACCACTGTGTTAATTCACTCCTTCACGTAGTAATTGATCAGAATGTCCTTTAAATAGTTTAGAGGTCTCTATTGTCATGGTCTTGGATACTACCATGGGAACAGATGGTGTGCCAGGTGCTAGGCTGTATGGTATAGGCACTAGCTGGCCTGTGTTTCACGTGGGTGCATACAGCAGGCAATCCTGACAGATGAGTATGAGTAAAAAACATGACGGAAAAATACCACCTTGAAATTAAAAAGCACAGGTAATGCACAAGTGCCATTCCTTCATGTACCTGCTGTTTCAGGATAACCTGTTCCATATCCTTCACGTACTTGCTCTCCCACTTCCCCAATTTCGTATATCTAGAGTGCTGCTTTTACTGTGGCTTTTCCATCTTGTATGTGATCTTTGGTATGATGTTTTTGACATTAAAGATGATGCTTGTAGCCTATGAACTTGATGACTGCTAGACTTGACTTTTTTTTTTCCCCAGCATAGTACATTCTCTGGAATTTTTCTGTAGTAGATTAAACATTTTGCAGTAAATTATTAAAAAGTAAGAACTTAATCATGGCTATTATTGAGTTCAGTTGAGTTCTAATGCACCAGCAGCATCTGAGCAGCTTTCCATGTTGGAGGTAATAAAAATCTCCAAGTAAATGATAACTTTCTGAATTTTTTAGTGAAAGTAACAGAATAGTCAAAAAACTACCGTTCTTGGCAAGCATTAGAAGCTTGTGTGAAAATGAGAGCAAAAAATATGTGATGGGGAGTCAACTAATGAGGAATACAGACTGAAAGTAAAATTTTTAAGAGGAAAAGAAATGAGTGAAGGGATAGACGGGAGATGCGAAAATACAGAGGTGGGGGCTAAGTTATGTTCATGGAAATTAAATGTGTATTCAGCTAGTTGTTTATCTGGTAAGAATTCCAAATAAAATGAGAGGTACTGTTGTTGTGTCTTCTGTTTCTTCTGTGGTGTTTGTAGCTGCATGCTTTTTTCTTTAAATGCTGTTACAAAACACTTCTTGCAGATACCTGTGGATTGAAGGTGTAATCCAGGTATTACAGTTAAAAAGAAAAGCATAGGGTTTGCTGTGTTCTCCTTACTGTAGTTATGTTGCTTTTTTTAGGTGGCAAAACATTTGTAATGCATATTTAAAAAAAAAATTACAGAATACTCGAAAAGCATACATGTAATAGATGCTTGCACTTGTTTCCTATGCAGGTATTGTTGGAGAAGCAGATGAAAATGGAGAAGATTATTATCTTTGGACTTACAAAAAACTTGAAATCGGTTACAACGGAAATAGAATTGTAGATGTCAATCTGACCAGTGAAGGAAAAGTGAAATTGGTACCAAACACAAAAATCCAGATGTCATACTCAGTAAGTAACTTGGTGATGCATCTATAATAAGAAACGCTATGTGGTGAAATAGCTCAAAAATAGGTACTGTGATGTATTAATACGTCAGGCTATAGTAGAGGAAGATGCATCTTCACTCCTTCAAATATTTTTTTTTCATTACTGAAACACCATGGTAAATTTATTAAGAATAAATGTAAAATGATTTTTTTAAACACTCCAAACAAACTGAGGCTTCTATAATCTGCAGAACAGTGTTCTGGTGGGAAAGTACGATATCCTAGAAGTACGAAGGACCCCCCAGTAGGTACACATCGTCTTAAAGTTTGGAGCTCTGACATTTGCATCATAGATTTGAACTGGATTTAAAACCCACTGTAAACCTTCATGCTTTGTAGGCAGTTAGTATCAAAGCTTACTTTGTTTTTGCTGTTCTAGTAGACATTTGCCTTACTTACATAACCTTATTAGTAAGGTTTTTCTGGAGCCTCTGTTATTGAATTGCTATGATAAAAGGTAAAGAATAAACAATGTTTGCTGAGCTAAGGTAAATTTTTTTGTTTTCTTCCTTATTTATTTGATGTTACTCAAATCTGTAATGGTTTACTTCTCATGTTCACCACGTTTGTATACTGAAACTAGTTCTTAATGTATTGCTTTTCTACAATGTGTTATCAGTAGGTGTCAGCATAAGAATTGTTTTAGAGGATATTCTTGCCACTATTACATTTGTCTTCTGCTGATAAGTTGTATATTTTGAAGTGCAGATAGTTATTTTTTGTCTATGCTTTATAGAATTATGTTTACACTAATCTCCCTATTTCTACTGCAAAAATTGATAGTACAAATTTTGAAATATTCTATTTCAAATTCCACCAGCATTGTGAAGTCCATTTACTCTGTCATTTTTGAGGCGGACAGCACTGAGTAGCTGCCAGTAAGGCAAATAACATTAGACGTTCCCTTAAAATATTTCTAGCTTACGGAGCTCAAGACTTAACCTTTCTAATTCTGTTGGCACCACTGGGCGATTGCTGGCCTGGCGTGTGTGTGGTGTTCGATTCACAGGTTGTCTCTGGTGGACTTCTTCTAAGCAGTGCTTCGTAGTGGCAGATGCTCTAGTGAGAAATGCATCTACTTAAAACAATGTTGAAAACTATTAATATTTTGAGCAACTAATCCTGAACAAGATTGTAACTTGAACTGAAGAACATTAATATCATACCTCAAAGTGAGTAATACTGAGTCTTGGGGTTTTTAATCTGTCTCAGGACTGTGGTGAGTGATAGGGGTATTCAATCTACATCTATACACTTTCTTCTGTACTCAGTAAGAGAACATCTGGAAAGGACAGTTCCTTGTCATGTATTTTAAAAAGATATGCACAAGGGGTCTGCATTTGTTTCAAGATCCCTAAAAATTCTGATATTTCCTGATCTTGGCATGCTTTTGATTTGTGTTTAATTTCTGAAATTGCACTTAAAATTAAAACAATCTTGCAAAAATTCTGAAAAATACTTTGTGTTACCATATTAGCACCGTATAGTTCATGACTATGCTTAAATCTTCCAAATTCAAAGCAGTCCTCTCTGTAGCTAGTGGAGTAACTGATAGCAGTAATATGGTGCTACCCTGTGATAGTATGGCCATAAATGCATACTTTTCCAGCTGGTTTCAGAGTAATTTATTGGCAATTGAAGTGTCTAGATTGCAGAATCCTGTGGTCTTACAGGTTTTAGGCTGCAGCTTTTAGCTTGTAGCTTTTAGAGTTCTAATGTCTGGCTTTTATAGTCCAGCTTGATGCATTTTATCCAAATCCCTTCCAGCCAGCCTCTGTCTTGCTTTATGCCCTTTTCTTTCCTATTGGCATCTGTTTTAAATCTGCTCTTATGTCTTCTAATTTCCCTCACTTCTGCTAGACTGCATCTTTTTTCTTGGGCGCTGTGCTCAGAGAATTTAGGTACAGAGGATTTCTTTGAATACAAGTCTCATGCATTGTGGCAGTAAAACAGATCTGAGCAGCTATTGGGGTAGCAGAAGTAGGGGGTGTCATTGCTCAGTGCACACTGATGATGTTCTTCACAGGCCTCTTTTTCATACAAACACAGCACATGGAAATGTTGAGAAAAGGGAGTGTGCTGTCAGCAGAAAAAAAAATCTTTGGAAAAATTCCACTGCTTTCTAGCATGTCATTCTTGAACATATTTAAACATGCTTTCTTTCTCTAACCTTTGTTCTGAAACCTTGGGCAAATTTGGGAGGATTTTTCAAAGGTGTTTCCCAAAAGTGATTCAAGAAAATTCATTGTTCTACAGGTATCTACTGTGGAAAAAAACATGGTCTTTAAACTCTTCGTTTGACAAAGCTGAAAAATAGGGTCGTTTGGATTTTGGTTTTGACACCTTTAGTATGACTATCTTTATGAGCTCCTTCTATAATCATGAAAAGGGTCTGTTGTATTTTGACAACTAGAAGTTTGCCTCTTTGGTTGGTCTCGCAGAGATGGTGAGAGCTGAGGCGGTGCAAGACTGATTCTTCCTTGTTCCTGAAGGTAAGCATAGACAAGATTAGGTCCGTGAGGCAAGGTGGCTGATGTTCATTCTGTGTCTGACCTGTAGATATCAGTCTTTAAGAACATCAGTTGATTATTTTTGCCAAAACCTGGATTCATATTGAAGAAAACATCTGAAGCAGATTTTTAAAATGTGTTTTGGGTTTCTGCAGGTGAGTACAGCTGAACATATCACAATGAGCTTTTGAAGTGTAAATTTTCCTCTCTTTAGGTGAAATGGAAGAAATCAGATGTGAAGTTCGAAGACCGATTTGACAAGTATCTTGACCCATCTTTCTTTCAGCACAGGGTATGTATTATTCTAAGAAAACCATACAAATATTCTTTTGAAATGATTGCTTCAATTCATATGATGAATTCATGGATGACATGAATTTTTGGATGACATCTTTGAATTTTTTTACATCCCAGCTGTTCTGGGACAATGAAACACCGAGGTCTAGGACTGTATGTTTTAAGTGATAGTTCTGTTTCTCACATAGGATGGCATCAGTTTTTTAGAGTACTTCAGTAAATGTCTGCAGGGAAACTTCAAGCCTGTAGTAAATACAAGGTAGTTCAAGTAAAAATATTTGCAATATTCACATGGTTGGAAGCAGTGAAGTTTCAGGGACACAACTGTACGACTTGTAAGCTGAATAACTGCAATTGGTCGTATGTACATGTTTTACTGAAATAAACGCAAAGCAAAAAGTGGTAGCCAAAACCAGTAGGTGAGATTGTAATCTCCTTAAGGGTAGTATGCTGAGCTCTACTACTTACTGAAATTAGAGGCTTTGGGTTCTGTTTGGAGCTTGATGAAAACCGGAAGATGTGCTTGTCAGAGGCAAAATAATGCTGCTACACATTTTGGTCCTGTGCAAAGCAAAGGTTCCTTTGGCTTTTTGATTGTGAACATCTCTTCTATGACTTAAACCTCTAGTCTAAGAAGGCAGCAGTACATCATTTTGCCTTTCCTTTACCAAGGGAGTATGCATAGCCAGTTGTTTGAACTTTGCTGGTGTTTAACTAAGATGTGATAACTTTGTCATGAGCAAGCTTGACTGTTGAAAAGCTTTATGTATGGGGTTTCACAGGCCAGTTTTAGTGAGACTTTCTACAAAAGTAGTGTTACTTACAATATGGATTTATTGTTACTTAGCTGACAAACTCTTCTGCTAGGCGATGGTTTATCCTTTTTGGAACAAATTTGAAACATTTACCATTCTAAACCTTAAGGATATGTTTTCTTTTTGTAGATTCACTGGTTTTCAATTTTCAATTCTTTTATGATGGTGATCTTTCTGGTTGGCCTAGTGTCTATGATATTAATGAGAACTTTGCGAAAAGATTATGCAAGATACAGCAAGGAGGAAGAAATGGATGATATGGTAAGATCTCCATTCAAGCTTTTTTAATATCTCTTTTTTTAAGGCTTATTGTTTTCTCTTCGTATATTCATTGTGTTAGCAGCGTTCTTCAAGTGGACAGAAAACTGCCCTATGTGTGTCTTGAAAGTGTTACTGATTTTCTTAATAATGTGCTCCTAGATTGCAATCCAGGATTTTGTCTGTAGTCACTGTGTTAATGTTCATATCCACACTTAGGTTAAATGAGGTCCATTCTGAGTGTGTGATAGAAGCCTGTGTAGACTCCTAAGCTCTTCAGAGGATTTTAGGGACAGGAGGGAATCTGATAGATTTTACTGTATCATGCATTCAGGTAGTAATTTTTCTTGTCTACATAAGCATCAGAAAAGTAAACATTTCTCCTAGATTTGATGCATTCAAAAGAGAAGACATACTGCACTTGTAGTTGCTTTAATAAATCAAACCTTTAATTTATGCCTAGCTTGTGTGTTTGTCATTAGTTGTCCTGACTAGACTTAAAATTCTTTTTTTTGTTGTTTTTAGGACAGAGATCTAGGTGATGAGTACGGGTGGAAGCAGGTCCATGGAGATGTTTTTAGACCATCCAGTCATCCTCTAATATTTTCATCGCTTATTGGTTCTGGTTGTCAGATTTTTGCTGTGTCTCTTATAGTCATTGTTGTTGCAATGATAGAAGATTTATACACAGAGTAAGTGTAATTGTGCCATGCTTTCTGCATATAGATGCTTAAATGAACAAAATAATTACAAAAATGAGTGTTCTAACCAGTCTGGAAAAAAGTGTTTGAGAGTCTTTAGCAAATGATCAGATGTAGTATTTAGAAAGGTTCTTTGAAGTTGTAATGAAACTTTGTCCTACTCTTATGTGAGTTGTTCTCCTTTAATTTTACTGTTTTAATGATTGCTTTTTACATTATTTATTATGAAACCGTAGTTTGTTGTTCTGCAGCTAGTTCCCAGTAGATTATATGGGAAATAAATGTTAACATGTACATACTTAATTCCTGGTTTCATCTGGGGTGACGAGATATTACTATATTTCTTACCCTTTTTTCCCCTCTGTGTCCTGTAAAGACTGAAGTAAGAGTGTGCTGTGTTGTGAATAGTCCTGTTTACTGCTGACAATGCGTTAAGCCAATCTTAGCCACAAGTATTCTCAGGACTGGAGATTTAATTTCTTAAGTTCTTTTCACCAGATACTGCCTAGCAGGTGTTGCATGTAAAAGCTCCAGCAATAGATGGGCCGTGGTCTTAACTGAATAGAATTAATTTAAAACAAATAGTACCTCACTTTAAATTCAACACTGCATGTGGTTCACCTAGGTCTCTTCCCTACCTTCTGTCTGCTTGAGTGTTTTGGTATCCTGAATGGACTTCATCTGTTTCTGTAGTGAATGTATTTTGCATACTGAGGGGATTTTTGTCTTTTTTACAAGTGCTTTGTTCTAAGCAATTACTAAAATTTCAAATGTCTGTTCTGTTTTCCGTTGCATATCACCTGTAACTATTGATTTTAACAAGTTGTAGTACTTCTGATGTGCCACTAGGGAGAACTCTTGTTTTTTAATTTAGCTGCCTTTTAATGGTGTGTTTAAAAAGCCACTCTGTAGTACCAGTATCTTGGTATGTTTTCATTTTTCATATGGTGTTATTCCTCCCTTGTGTGCCATGGTTACATTTTTGGATAGACTTACATACACATTTTTTAATTGTATAGCATGTCATCTCTTCAAGGGAGGGAATGAAACCATTTCAGAATGTTTGTGCACTGTAGGGAAGCTCTAAGTTAGTAATAGCAATTGTAAAATATGTCAGAACAATAATTAAAAAAAATATATGCACTTAGTCTTTTATTGCAATAGGCCTTTATATCACTTTCAAAGTTAATTTAATTCTGGGTATGTAAAGGGAACAGTTGACTGAATCTGGTGCAGAAAATTCTTATATTTAGGAAAATAGTGATGTGAGTGAAAAAAGATGGTAAACCAGCATTGTAAGAATGATTTCCCATCAGTGTTCTTCAGGTCTGTTAAAACTCTTGGGAGTCGTGTAGCTGATGTCAATTAAAAGTCTTTTACTGAAATCTGGTCATGCCAGCTATTAATTTCTTAATACCAGTTTGTGTTTTGAGAAGCTTTTCTGTTAGAATATATGAAACATAAGTGAGTAAGCTCAAAAATAAGTTTTGAGATGTCATTTTAGATGAACATCTGCTGGTCATTTTACAGGTAGTCTGGATTTACGTAGGTAACTTCAGACCATTTTTTGGTTTAGCCCAGCTGGCAACTAAATGCCACACAGCTGCTTGCTCACCCTCCCCCACCTCTGGGGAATGGGATAGAGAATTTAAGGGGAAAAGAGGAGGAGACTAAAGGTTTGAGAAAAACACGAGTAGCTGAAAGGTCCTTGGTGTCTCAGTACCATTTGTAAATACCAGTGCACTATCAACATTCTTCTCCTAACAAATCCCAGACTGAATTCAAGACACAGAGCTCTTCTACCTGCTGAAAAGGAGAACTAACTCTGTCCCAGTCAAAACCGGGACAACTGTGCATGGTTTTCTAGGGTTTTGTGTGCGTTTCTAGATCGGCTTAAGTTAGGGCAACTGTTAAAATTGGTTTCTGTCTAACAAGTAACCTTCTAAATCTGAACTACTTTTTTTTTTTTTTAAGAAGCAAACATTAGCGTAGTGCTCCTTTAGTGTGTGTGACC